TGAAAATTTCTTAACATGCATAATAACTTACCCACGATCAGCTAAAGATTTGCAAACTGAAGCCTTCAATCGACCTTATGAAACGATTAACTGCTAAACAGCTGACAAAACGGGGGGCGATGGTTCTTATTCCAATTGCAATGTCAACAATTTAACAACAGGAGATGTTTTTAATGATCAGCTGATAGATAAGGGTTAAAGCCTTTCAAAGTAAATAAACGAATTAAGCCTACAATTTTTCGCTGCGAAAATCCAAGACGAACTTGGCTGCTCTCTTCCTTTAACACTATATGCCAAAAATGCTTACTTAGCTCGAGGTTTAGGCGGACACGTTTCCAAAGCACCCAATGTAGAATGAGGGGTTCCTACTAAAAGAAAGAATGAAAAAGAGGAAGAATGAATATGAATGAATGAATGGATGAATGAATGACTCGAATGAAAGCAAGAGAAGATCACGGTAGATACATTGATTGACATTGATCTGAGTACATGGAATATGTAAACCCACATAATTGCCCTGTCATAATGCATGAACGTGTGGCATGCTGATCATAAATTGATCAGTATGGTGACCACGGCAAAAGGACGTATGTATGCATGTCAGAATTGTTAAAATTAGGCGACACCCCAGTACCGTTTAAATTCTGTTTAATTTGTGATCAGTATATTAATTGTCCAACTTCGATACGATCGTATGATGTAAGCGCTATGGCTTTAATCAAAGTAAATATAAAATTCGACGAGGTTAAATCTTTTCCACCTAAATTTCCCTTGCCTTGCAAAAAACTGAGTTACCCTGACAAAAAGTTTGTCTAGCCAATAGAAACTGGATGATGTTAATGCTTTGGGCTTGCAGATAGCATCATCGTTGTCAGCGTCCGGTGGGTTCGGCGGATTCAGTGCCTCTTTGAAAGTTGATATAACTAAGTTCAAGGAATCCACCACAGATACGAGTAAGTTTACCGAGAACACGGTGGAATTCACATCTGGAGGAGCAGACATGCCTGAACCCATTAAATTAACGCTGATGCCTATTGACAACGCTGTTGAAGACAGTTTCTTCAGCGTCCTTGACCAGCAATATCGATGTGAAAATTTGGCACAGCGAAAAGACAACTTGAAAAGGATCTTGCGGGAATACCCACAGATAAAAGATGTTTCTGAACCTCAAGGCATGATTTCACACTAGCCGTTAAAAAATATTTACCGGTAACGTACTAAAACAAAACAGCCAGGAAAGCATTATAACTCACGGTTACCAGGAGCCCATAACCTTGTCCTTGTCATGGGCCATCGGCTCCTGATGTTACAGCGACCTGCAGAACAAGAAATTAAAGTGTCAGTCGTGTAATTTCAGATCCTGAGGTGCGCATTCCTCTTACTTGGCCTTTCGGTACCTATGGTCTCCCCATGACAAAGTCAGGATGTCCAGATGGAGACTTTTGGCACGAGGGGACTCGTTACCAAGACACCGAGGATGAGGATCCAAACAACCATTGGTCTGATCCTTATGATTTAGCAGGAGGAGTCACTAAATCAAACATGGAACAAAAGTTTTGCATGAAGACACTGAGCAAAACTTCTAAGTACGATCTCCCTTGGCCCAAAGGACAATACTGCATCTACAAAAAAGGACATTGCCCTGAAGGTCAGTATGCATGTATTGCTTTTCTTGACGTGCCTTTTTTCAATGATGAATCATTTTTGGTTTATCGTACCGACTCAACAACGTAACACACGAAAAAAATACCCAGTGCTGCGGTACGAGCACGCTTGCGATACACATTCGCTCAGTGTATTTGAAAAAGTTGAACAGGCAAGTTTTGTTCATCGAGTTAAGACTCAAAATTCACTGTTGCCTAACAAACTTGCATTGTGGCTCTCAGTTTGGGAACGAAATAAGAGAACTTTCGCATTTTTTCTTACCCAGAAAGGCGGGACACCAAAATGAAAGCACGCCATTGTCGGCGAAAAAGTGGAATTCGACACCTCATGACAAACTTGCAAAAAGGAACCTTTTTATCTGGGAAGAAAATACGCAATGCTTGTACCAAATAGGTTAGCCAAAGCCTTTGTATTGGTGGTTAAAGATTTGACCTGCCACCCGGTCACTTCTTAGTAATGCTGGCATGTAATTCTAGCAGTTCTTAGAATTTCAGAATCTTTTCCAGTTATATATGTTTAATTAATGTTCTGTACTGTGCCTACCAGGTTTCGGGAACGGATACGTTCAGTGGGACGACGAAGATGACGATAACAAAAACAGTGTCGCCGGTCAGCTACCAGACGGCGTTTATGGCAGGAACACAAAAATCTTTTTCTGCTGTCGGGATGATGGATACGCTACTAATGTCATTAATCTTCCCACTGACACGCCCTTCGTTTTTCTCAAGTCAGATAGCCATCTATGTCAGATTGTCAATGGTACTAAAACGAGAGAAGAATTCTTCCGTTGGGACAATGAAGATGACTCAGGCTATATTACTGAGTTTAAAAGAAAACACCCCTTTTTGGAGTACAGCAATAATAATCTTAAAATCCACTACTGTTATTACCATAAATAGTCATAAAAATATAACGTTTGCTCATACATGTTATCTCGTGAAATGTAAACTGAGAAATTAATATACTGGATATTAGAGGTTGTCACCCATTAAATCCACCTGCCGAGTAAGAATATTAAAAATAAAAGTGCAAATCAAATTGCGGAAGGTGCAGGCTTATTTGATTTTATCGCCATTGTCCTTTAGGAGGGCATTCAGTAATTTCGGACGTTCGTACCCATTATATTGTTTCCGTGCATCCTAACTACGCACGTAATTCACCTTGCAACGTCACGCCAAGTCATACATCAGGCGCGTGTGCTAAGAAAAAGTATAAGCAAGAACAGGGCCTGGTACCGGTTGCGTTAACTTCACCCGCAGTTTAATCTTCTCTTTTCTTTTCATAGATCATTTCTTTTCTGATTTTCTCCTTTTTAGCAAAAAATATATATACCTGATCTTTTGAAAACCAGGTCCGAACAGCCCAATGACACCTAGTGCCTAATAGAGTCATGCAAGCAGTGCTTACCAAGTTCCGTACTCCACACTTCATCTAGTGCAAAAAGGAAATGACACTAGAATCTCTGGGCCACCTGTGGATGAATTTAGGCTTAACTGTCATCACATCAGATAAAAGCTCTTTGCAAGCATAACCTAATGACAGCAAACTAAAGTGCCTTGAAATCTCCCCCTCCCCCCCGGGGTTCAGGTACCACTTCGCACATATCAGCCCCCTTCACGACAATAATGCAACCTTCTGCCAAGGCAATAAACCCACTCAGCTCTGGGAAATTCCATGCACTTTAAGGATTATGTCACGTTGGACAGCTAAGTACATACCCTGAACTCCACTCAGCAGCTGTCAGAGTGACTTGAGACTATGGACACAAGTTTAAACCGACCCCTTCCCCCTGGATTAAGGGCCAGGGACCCCAAAGAGGTATCCACAATTAGCCCCACTCCTGTAGATGTCTCCA